TCTCCAGCCCCTTCCCCAGGCATCAAGTGTGGACCTTCCAGGCCCCTCCTATCCCAGGGATGAGGAGTTCACTACTCCATTTCCTGTTCCCTCTTATGCTGGAGTTTGCCACCCTGGCCCCTCCCACTCCTCAGATATCCAAGCCCCATCCCCTAGCTATCTCCTCTCCCAGGTCTCCAGACGCCTCCCCAGGAGCCAGGAGTCCCAATCTCTGGCTCCCTTCTCCCCTAGAAACTCAGTCATCGAAACCCCTCCCCCTTCTGCCCTCCAAACCCAGGCTTCCAGACCTCCATTCTCCGCCAGCCTGAGGGGTTTGGCCTGACCTCCCCTGGCTCCCCCACCTGCTCTGGACTCTCGGGGTGCTGGCCACCCTCTGGAGGAGCCCCAGGCCTCGGGTTCCCACGCTGGGCTCTCTTCCATGTCCCCAGGCGCAGTTGTGTCTCCGTCTCTAGCGACCAGCTAGGCGGTGCCCCAGGGAAGGGAGGGGCCTGGGCAGGTCATACCTGGGCACCAGGTGGCCCCGGAGGGAATACAATGCACTTCCTAGAACCTGTCAGGGCCACTGCTCCGAAAGGTCTCCTGGGAACTGAAGTCCACAGGTGTCAGTGCAGATCCTGGGAGCTGGGGCAGTACAGCACATGGGGTTCGGTGGCCCATGTCCCCCTACATCGGTTGATCACTCAGACACTGCACATACACAATCTGTGTGCAACACTTTACTGGGAGAGATTCACACATTCTGACGCTGTCTTAGGCCACATGATGATAAGAGGGTGGTGAGTGCTGGGACCCTAAAGTGGCTCAGATGGAAGCTGCAAGAATGGTGGCCCCCAGGCCTGCTCATCAGTGCCTCAGTTTTCCCTTTGTGAGACGGGAAGGTTATGTTCCCTCCCAGGGCTGATACAAGTGGGGCATACAGCACAAGAAAAATGGGTCCCTCCCCCACAGGGGAGCTGCAGAAGGGGACTGGCCCCTCAGCCCTGCTGTTCCAGCAGGCCAGCTCTCTGCGTACCTGGAAGCTGTGGCAGGGATAAAGGGAGAGTCCTGTCTGGACAGCACCTGGATTTTACAGTAGGGAAATGGACCTTCTGGAACCCTCAGGGGAGGGCAGGGAAGCAGGGAGACCCCTCAGCTGTGCTTTGTGAAAGGCAGTGTATGGAGCAGGGACATGGGAATCCTCTCCAGGCCCCAGGCCCCGAGCCAAATCAAGGGCCCTTTCTGGGAAAGGAGATGGCAGCCAGGTTCACGGAATTCCCAGGCAAAAGCTTTGTGGCTGGACCGACTGGCAGTGGGAGTTTCAAGCAGCTTACTCCTCCCGGAGCTTTTCCGGGGCAAGGCTGGTAGCCGGGGACTTCCGCCGGCTAGGGCTGCCCCGACCCAAAGCTACTCCCAGCCCCAGGGCCACCAGAGCCAGGACGTGGATGCAGAAGTAGATGGAGGCCCAGTAGCGGAGGGTCTGGCCCAGCGAGAGCAGCACGAAGCCCATGCACATGTAGTCGTAGGCCCTCATCTTCAGGAACCAGTGCACCCAGTCCCAGGCCTTCTGGCCGCCTGGGCCCAGCCGCCCCCGCAGCGCCGACTCCAGCTGACCCTCCGCTGCCAGGCACAGTGGGATGGTCAGGAAGCTTAGGTAGTAGCCAGGGTGGAGGCCATGCCAGTAGGCGCTCAGCAGCATGGTCCAGGCGCTCCTGCAGGAGGGGCCGGGAGTCAGACAGGGGAGTCCAGGCCCTGGGGCCTCCTCCCTCAGACC